GGAATAAATTCTGTTTACATTTTTGCATAAATAAAAATGTGGATGGCTATAAAAAGGAGCTTTGAGAAAGAAAGAATCATTATTGGAGATGTTGATGTAACTCAAAAGGTAAGTGCAGAGTTCTTTAGAATTGATAGGTTAGAATTTAGAAAGAAATTATGCTATTCAATCAACTAATGATGCTGTAATCAGAAAATAAGTTTGATATTAAAAAGCAGATTTTAATGTAAAGGATAATAATTCTAGATTAACAACAGTTTCCTATCATATAAAGTCATTTCTCATAAATTTAGAAGAGCAAATAACTTGCTGATCTTTATAAATATGAGAGATTTAAAATGATATAGAAAGTTACTAAATCTGATAAATTTATTTTTTTGTACATTACCAAGATAAATATGAGAAAAGAATCATGCATGTATAAGATTATTTTTATTCTTTGCACAGCCATGTTTTCACAGAAATGGGTATGAAGGCAAATTGATAAAAATGTGGAATCATTTGTTTTTGTTAACAGTAGAATGTATTTTGAAATGTATTTGATATTCTGTATAATTATTGATCTTATTTGAACATAAGAATAACTAATTCTGGATATAATGTACCCAGTTGATGAAATGATTAATCAGTTTTACTATACTCATACCATCATCCTAGTTATTTGCTAGCAAGTGGTAAAATCTTTAAACTCAGAAATTGGTATCTTGTTCACTGAGATCACTTTTTTGATACAAACTAACATCTTGAAATTTTCTTTTATCATCACCACCAACACTGCCACCACCACAAGTAATAAAAACAGATATTTGTATGTTAATTTTGACATAACCATCTTTTCTCCATGTAGAACATTCTGAATGATCAGAACTTCTGAAATGATGGTGGCATCAAAGCAGAACTATAAACCCATTATTCAAAAAAGAGATGTAAAGGAATCAATGATTTACCTACATATAGGAAAAAAGCAATTACATATGTTGAATAATTTCTCTAGATTTCTTTTTTGAGAAGTAATAACAATTTATTGGTTAAATAAAATATTCAGAAACTTTCTTACCAAATCAATAATTATAATAATACTAATTTCTAACACAAATAAAGTTTTGTACATGACTAAAAATTAAATTCACAAAATACTTACTTTACCTGAGAATTTGAACAAATAGAATGCTTAAAACTAATTAAATTTTATACTATTCGATATTAAACACATATAACGTGAATATTTTCTCCCATGTTTTTGGTCTATAAAACTTGAGAAATGAAAAATACAACACTACATCAAATGCATTATTATGAATTGTAAACCCATCATCAACGATTTGTTTTACAACAATGGGAATCCTGATTAGTTGCAATGAACTGTAGGTCAAAAACTGTCCTTATAAAACATATATAGGCCAGTAAATATTGAAATTCAACTTCACAATTCAGAAATGTTAAATTTATTGTTTTTTATTACAAACATTCAATGACCAACCTATAAAATGAGTCCATATTTAATAATTACTCTTATGCTAATGAAATATTAAAAGAATAATTTGTAGTTGGTGATATATTACCTTATTTCCACGCATAGTTATCCTTCCGCCACATCGTGCACATGACTTGAGATGACAGTAATGGCAGCTGTGTCCCACTCCATCTGCAAATTTTGTCTTGTGACAAATCTGACAGACAGCTCCTTCATCTTGAGGAGTTACTTGTTTAGTTTCTTCACTAAGTTTTTTTACTGCTTGTTGATAACTGTCAAATTCATCTTGCATTTGTCTGTAAACACAAAATATTAAAGAAAAATATATGAACAATTGAATGTTAAATTTTTTTTAAGTAAGAATAACTACAGGAAGTTATAAAGTAAAGCCATAATTTGAACTGGACTTTCTAATTCTGTAATAAAATGAATTTTATTACCAAGTTTTATAAAATATTTGCTGGAGCAGTTGCTTATATATCCAGCTGTCCACCAATTTTCTCATGTATGCATACATCAGGTACAGTCAGGCTCACAGGTGATCATCTCTAGGGTGACCACTGAAAACAGGTGAATCATGGATCTCCACCCACAGCTGGGGTCATCTCAGGTCAACTCTGTACCTGGCTTCACTGATAGTCTGGTGTGAAACTGAGTCTGGCATAATCCAGAGTGATACACATTTACATATGTACTGCAGTCGTAGCAGCAGTGGGTCCATCTAGTAGATGGATGAAGTCTTCCTCCACAGACTGGTTTTAAATTCAAAGTATTCTTTCTACTACATCGTTTGTCATGACACAGTTAAAGCACTCAGTGTGTACTGCTATTTAACCCACAGCTAGGAGATGGATTTATGCTTTTTGCAAGTACACTAGAAGTAAAGTGAATGAAACAGATTTGGTCAGAATGTGAACTCAGTACAATTCAACTTTCCATGCTGATAACTGTTATGCTATTTACACACACAAAGTTAAAAAAAATGCTGTATTTGTAAAAATTAAGAAATTATATTTTAATATTTTAAATAACCTGGAAATAGTAGAGAGTATATGGATCATACACTTTGCTCATCATGGCAAGACATCATCTTCAAGAAATCATGTCATGCATTTTCTAAAAATATTTTATAAATCAGATTGGTTAATCAACTATTGCTCGGAAATGCTTGGATTGCAACGGTATAATATGATATATTACAGGATAGATGTTAGAAAACTGAGTATGGTTGTATAAAAATTATTTAACTCATTATCAATGCAAAGATGTCAGTTTAAAAGTAGACTGTAATGAAAGAAATTACTGGAAAGCAAAGAGTAATTTACATAAAATAAATTATTGAAACAGGAAACTCAATAAATAGTTGGTCTATCATTAACACTAAAGTTCTTGATAAATATATGATTATAGTGAATAAATGGTGTAAAAATTTGCTGAAACAAACAAATGTTAATTATCTGGGTTGGAGCTGCCTAATCCTCACATTTTTTATGGAGTTCAAAAGCAACTACTCAGCCTTGTGGGTAATAGCTTATTTTCCACCCTATAACCCCTTTCTCACAGAAAATGTCAACCCTTTTGCTACTATCACTATTTTAACAGCATATGTTTTGATGAGCTACATTCCTTAATTCCATCAGTTCTGACCTTCACAGCTAAGACTCATCATACAACATACACTGGGACAAACCATCCCCATTCCCTTTGTATTCCATTAGTAAGAAGGAAGTTCCACTTGGATAGCTTCTTCCCAAGTATCACTACTTTGTGTTACAGACTCCTAAGAGGATGCATCCCTGATCACTACAATCCTAACCTCCTCAAGTCTATGGTTAACTGTTATCTTTCCTACATATCCTCATATAAGAAATCATTGGTAAAGAAGAAATAGGCATACTTAGATAAATAGTATTAGTGAGATTTATTGCAAATAAATGAAAGAAAAAGAGGATAAAAAGAAAAGTTGAATGTAAATCTCTAACCATTTCAAAGAGCTCAAAATATTTAACCAGAATTATGTTGGTGAGGCAGAAGTGATAATTTTTTTTACTTTAAATAAAGGAAAGATATACAAAATAAGTATAAAGATACTGTGAAGATAATGTAACAATTCTGAGAAGAAAAATTCCCACTACAATTGATATATAAAGTGGCAATTCAATTAAAGTTCTTATGAATAATCCGACTAAACCATCTAAAAATGTTGGAAATAGATGGATAAAAATTGTTATCTTAAGGAGATTTTTGTAATTTTATCTCCTGCAGACTCAAATAAAAAATGAAACAATGCAAACTGACTCAGAGAAATTTGTCATTTTTGTGACAAAGTTGATATAAGATTAAGAAAATCTTTAATCCACAACACAGTTCTAATTATGTGACAGTGGTTTCATAAAGCAGCCAATCAGGTCATATTGGGAAAGGTCTATACTTAATATACAGCAACACCATAAAATGTTTTCTACAAACATTGGTGTTAAGTCAGCCACTCTATTCTGACTTTGTCAAAGGTGGCAATATTCCTCTTACAAACAACAACCAAATATTGTATTTCTTCAATTATTCTCAGCATTTCTTATACTCTCTTTTCCACACAATGAAAATATGTATATGGAAGCATATTTTGCTTAAATTTATACTTAAAATTTCAGTAGAGCCAATATGTATAAAGTATAAAAATCAACTGAATTCATATAATAATTTTGTTAATGCTGTACACAGTATTTTATGAGGAGAAATGATAAAAATGGGCATTAAAACTAATCCTTTCATACACCATTTCCTCCTTACTGTGATGTTTACTAAATAAAATAAAAATAATATACTTTACTCTTTCTTAAAAATTTAGGAGTCATTTTTTATTTTCCTTAAAGCAATGCTACTACCCACAGTTATGGGTTAAATAATAGGACTTCTATCTGGAAAAATCATTGCTATCCTCCAACAAAATTGTTAATACAATATTCACTTACAAAAATAAAGAATTATCCTTACAGTTCAAAATATATATTTTAGCTTTAAATAATCCACAAAAAATAATTTTAGTCATCAAATTCATCTTGTTTTTGCATACCCTTCTAGTCTCCTCTATCATTTTTTTCTTTAATTTTACTATAAAAACTTGGCAGCATTTCTTACTTTGACATACTCTTTAATTGTTGCTTTATCTGATATATCCTGTATCTGAACAAGTGAATTAAAAGTTATGATCATTTGTCAAAAATATTGAGAAATGTCCATTCCAGAAAATAAGAGTTATATTCTCTAATTACTTGATTCCACTTCTTTATAACAGGATATATTTTTATTTTTAGATAGGTATAACTTTCATGCAATTATGGTAGGAAATATATAGAAGAAACCAGTTTCCCTTTAAAAAATCAAACTTGAATATTGAAAAGGTGTAATCTAATATTAAGCTTGGCAGAGTGAGTATAAAAGGAAGATGGATCATATAGTTCCCTATATGAAGTCAAAAAATTTAAAGTTATTTTTTATGAATTATTAAATTGTCTTATAGACATATCATTGAAACACTGGTTCTCATACAATCACTAAGGTTAAGCACCAATGAGCCTGGTCAGTATTTAAATGGGTGACCACTTGGGAATATCAGGTGCTGTAAGCTTGGATGCATAGATAACAGCTTGGAATGAGAAATTGGAGAGCCAAATTTAAATTCCACTCAAGTTCATTACATTCACTTACATGCAAATACCCTTGGGAAAAGTATGAATCCATCAACCCCCCCCTCCCACCACCACCACCACCACCACCACCACCAAATAGCAGGACACACTATTGTAGGAATTCTGCCAAGTCAGTCATGAATTGAAAAGCGATATGGCTGCCTAAGTGTGCATTGTGCATGGCACTTAATGAAGGAAAGAACCAAAAAACTATTATCAAAAAAATGTTGTGTTGTTATCAATAGAGGTGTGGGACATTTTATTCTCTAAATGAATTAATAGTATAAAGAAAGCATATCAATTAAAAATAATACACTAATAAAAAAAACATTATTCAGTTTCTTTAGCTTCAAATAAGTTACAAGACAAACAGAGATATTCAATTTCTACCAGAAACAGTTTTAAAAAAATTAAGCAGCAGAATCATCTTTATTTTAAAATGCCATTTAAAACATATAAAGTTATAAACATATAAATAATTTTTTAAAAGTGTTTTGTAAGTAATCTAACTATTTAGATTACTTACAAAACAATCACTTTTTAAAAATTGACTCAATTCTTTACATTATTTTAAGATAAACTGTAAAAAAATATTGCCAAAAATAAATCTTTCATCACTAAAGAATTTAAGAAACACTGTTATCTTTTCAAATATATAGTTAATATAGGAAATCATCACATCATCTTTTACATTAAATGTAACGAGTAGTACACATGAAAATTTCACTACTTTCCTGTTTTTTAATTTTCTGAATAGTTAATTCTTAATTTGATGATTGAATATGTTCCTTCCCAACTATAAACTACCTGTAGAAATTCCACTCTTGTATTGTTAAATATTTGAGCTTAACAACTTTAACAAAATATGGGAAACAACTGTTTTTATTTTATATCCTAATGTTGTCAATTCTCTCTTTGTATCAAGTATATTTCATTAATGAAGGATAATTATCAATGTAACTTGGATAATAATGAAGATACATTAGATATATAGAAATTATAAAAGATGAAAATAATATTTATTTTACTGTTTTTCAATCCTTTCCTTTAATTTCTGTTCCTTTCTATTTTCCTTTATTTCTTATTTATTTTATATTAGAAAGTAGAATATCTCACAGAATTAAGCATTGTTGAGAATTTAAAGAATTTGCATTTTCAGCATCCCAAGTATGTATTAGAAGAGCTACTTTGAGTTTTAAATACTGTCTAACATTTTTTCTTAATTTTGTTTTAGAAATGTGATAATCAAATACTCTAACATGGTTTTCATAGTATGTGAAGCAAAAACTTCAATCAATTCTGTCCATTAATCAATATTCTGTCATGAAATACAACCTACTTTTTCAGAAATTTTAAAGCTTAGTAATTCATTGAGATTTGAAAATTATTATTTTTTACCACATAAATCAATAATAGCCAATATTAATTTAAAATAACTCCTCTTTAATACTGGGTGGGAATTCCTTTATTTTGAATTCATATTCATCATTTTGATTATTTTTAAGTAATAAAGGAGATTATATGAAATACTAGGTAATTTCTGTTGATACACCAGTTCTCATATGATCACAGAAGTTAAGTAACATTGAGCCTGGTCAGTACCTAAGTGGGTGACCACTTGGGAACACCAGGTGCTGTAAGCTTGGATTTGCAGGTAGTGTAATGGATGAAGACTCAGAATTTGAAAATGGAGAGCTGTTCCAATTCCAGTAGGGTTTGTTATATTCACTTATGCACAAATACCCTTGGGAAAGGTATGAATCCACCTCATCTCCCTCCTAGCTATGAGTTAATTAGTGGGATGTGTATCAGCAAATCATTATTATCTAAAAAGAAATTCTTACAATCTAAAAATATTTTCTGCCTTTAAATAAACTGAAAAGGTTAATAAACTGTAAAAAACAAATTAATCAATAAAAACTAGGTCATTTCTAGAATTATGATGTATATTATTTTCTTGAAATACTTGCTTACTTATTCATTATAAACTGCCTAAAACCTTTGTTTGAGAGTACCTATAATATTTGGTTACTAAAATTTTTTTAGTTCTTTTGTTAAAATCTGCTTCTTATTATATATTCAAAACGGAGCAAAATTTAGATTAATATGTTTTTTGATTTCTCATTTATCTCTGTTTAAGTTTTGGATTAAATCTAGAATGAAAATTTTAAATTAGATAATTTCTAATGCACTTGACACTGTGCCTAAGGCATTTTGCTCAAGACTGTAAAATGTTTTAAATTAGATTTTCTATCTACATCTATTAAACACATGCAGTTTAATGTTGATTATTAACAAATAATATTGATATATTTCCTGTGATATTTAGCTTTGTGTCATGCTTGACTGATGAAAATAGTTCCATTTAGAGTTATACATCTTTAATAATAAAATATTTTGATATCTTAAGAACTGAATAGATAAACATTTGTTTCTAAACAGAAATGTAATTAACATTTCATTCTTCCTATAAATGTCTTCTTATAAAAACCATAAGATAGCACTGAAATAGTTTCCCAAACTTTGGTATATTCATTGAGATCAATTTTCAGATAAATTATTACTCAAGTTTACCACATTTCTTATATACATACAAACATATTTATTATTAGTGAATACCTGTTTGAAATAAATGCCCTGATTATTTTTCTTAACTTTAAACAATGTGTATTATGTATAGAGGCCTGCTCATTCAAGAAAATTTAATAAAGAAAAGTGCTTTCTGGCAGGGTTCGAATCTGCATCACCCTTGTTTAAGAGAAACCACTGTTTGATCTGGCAGGCTTTAGACCGTTCAGCCACAGTAAGGTTCTATTTACCCTTTTAAAGAATACACACTCCCTCATTCAGATTTTCTTGAAAATAAACACCAACTACAGGAATTTGGAGGCAGAAAGCTTCTTGAAAATGACCAGGTGAGCATCAGGAATGACATGTGACACTGGTCTAACAGTAAGAACCATGTCATGCTACTTCACCTCTTTCCACAGCCATCAACTACATTGAGTTACTAGACATAGTGGTCAAAACTAAGATCAATCACATAGCTTGCATGACCCAGGAGAAGTTGGCTGAGAACATATATCCTCCTAGTGCTTTTCATTTAAGGAGGGAGAGATCATCAGCCCCACATTCTCAAAGACTCTTTGAAAACTGCCACTATTGACATGAAACAGAACCACTTGATCTGGGTATGCACTCACTTCTAAAGGTGCATCAAGACTATTTTTGAGGCTGATGGCAATTTTAGTGAATAACCTTCTTTCATTTTTCGAAGTTGAATATGTGAATAATTTCTACTTTTTTTTTAAATAAAATTAAATTTCTTTATACTATAATATGTTACTTTATACTATAATATATTACTCCTTATGTCTAATGTCTTGGCCTTGTAGCTCAAACTTTCTTAATTACATTATTCTTTTGTTTGGTGGTGAACTTCTTTACTTTAAACATGGCATCCTTCATTCTCAGCTTCAGAACTAATCAAACAAAACTTTTATATTGCAATTCCTACTAAATTACACAGATAATACATAAAATCTTGTTAAATAGATATAGTCTTTAGAATATTAAACTAGGACTTATTAATAAAACTAATGTATAAATATGGAAAGATTTAAAATGTAGATGAAAGTTAACCCAAAATGAAACTCATCTAAAACTTAGAAATATTTTGATCAAAAAAAAATTATTTTTTCATAAAAATTGACTGAATGAACTAATTAGCTATGTTAATTATACTCTGAGTTAATGCAAAATTAAAATTGTTTGCTTATATTTCAAGATCAATTTTTTCTTAATTATTAGTTTTTCATTATATGACGAAGAAAAATCAAGTCAATGACTGCATTGAGAATAAAAATATGTATAGATTTTTTACCGATTTTAAAAACATTTAGAGATTTTTGTGGTACAAGTTCTTGAAAATTAGCAAGAGTAGGCACTTTTGGCAGGTAAAAAGTGACATTTCTATTGATAGCTTTTATATTAATTTGTCCAAACACTTATTTAATGATTGCCTAAACCAGGTGATTGAATGTATAAAGAGAGAATGATCATAATGTAAAAAGAAAAGCTGCTACAATGGTGGAATAATTATATAAGTGAACTTTTCTATGACAACAGAAGAGAGGAACCTTTAAATATAGAAAAGTATGGAAAGATCTCTTATATTAAAATCTAAATTAAAGACAGCACTGGCCAAGATGAAGAATAATAAAGCAGTAGAACCAGATCAGATTGTCATAGAGATGCTGACAGCTGGAAACTTTTGGATATTGATAAGGTTACTAAAGTGATAAACAAAATATATGACAGCTGTGAAATACTGGAGGATCTAAGTAGATCAATTTTCATAATGCTGCCAAAGAAACTGTAATGGTGAACTATCTACATTAGAATGAACTCTTCCTCCTTCAGAAATACTAAGCTGTGAGACTTCCTAGGAGGCAGTCAAGACACAGTGTAACCTGACAGTTCGGACGGACACTTCTATCTGCTGACTAATAACACTCTTATTTTGTATATATGTTCTGTTATTTCAACACATTTGATCAACCTACCACCTTCTTTCCATGTCTTTCTTTCTGGCCCTTAACAGGCCACAATAGAAATTGTAGCCAGTTTTTTCTGGCTTGTAAGTTCCCTAATCTGTTTTCTTCAACAAACAGTGTAGCATAAGTCAAACAATACAACAACACATGTCTCCAGTTCACTACTGCAGTTGCACTTCGTTTTTAAGCACTTTTTATAGATTGAGTGACAGTTAAAATTTACATATGTTAAAAGAGATTCTCATGAAAGTTTATCTGACTGAAATCTGTTTTAAATATATGATTCATGAAGCCACCATTTTCTTTTTGGGAATACTTTACATGTAAGACATGTCTGAATTCATTTTTGTCCCAGAAGTAAGCCATTTTCTCTAGTATTACAGAAACCATATGCAAATGAATGCAAAGCATTGAACAATTAGCTTGATGATCCATATAACAAAACTATTAGTATTCTAATGAACAGAAATCACAGCAGAATTAGACCAGAAATAGAACAACAATGCAGCTTTGTTAAAGATGCTAGAACATGAAATATAATTTTCATAATCAGAATGCTATCAGAATGTGTAACATAAATGCAGAAAAACCTTTATTCATTTTATAAATTAGGAATGCATTTCATAAAGTATGACATGAAGTACTTTTTGGGCTACATAGAAAAGATATGCCAACAATTGGAAACAAATAACTTTTATACAAACAGGGAATGAATTGACTACATCAAAACAGAAAGGATGTGTTTTCTCACCAGATTTTTTAAATTTATATCGCAAGATGACTAAGAGAATTAGAAAATTTACCAGGATTTACTACCAGTAGAGACAACCTTAACAAAATAAGCTACACAAATGATACTATGTTGATGGCAGACTCAGAAAAAAAACTGAAAGAACTATTAGACAAGATAGTCAATAAAAGTAAAAAGAAAGGACTATCAATTTTATAAAGATGGAATACATGATTGTTATCAAAAGAGATAGCCTGAGGTGTGAGTTATATATTGGGGACATCAAAGTTAAGCAGGTATGAGAATTCAACTATCTGGGTAGTATAGTAAGAGACAACAAAAAGCATGACACAAAAATCTGGAGTCATATAGGTATAGCAAGAAATGCTTTCTGGAAAACTGAGTAATGTATTAAAGAATCCAAAAAAGAAAAGTATGCTGGAAAGTCTAATCTCATAGTTGACAGTGAAAGCTGGAAAATTTCATCATAAATGAAGAAAAGATTTGAAGTAGCAAATATGTGGTTCTTGTAGTAGAATTGTTTGAGACAGTATGAATTTGATTAACAGTAAGGTTTAATGAACTCTGTATTTGCCCAGTCCTCCCCAAAAAGTAGGATGTGGCAAAAGGCCAGTTTTTAACATGGGGCAAATTCAAGTGTGTACACTCAGGCAAAAATCCCTTTATGCCCTGCTTACATAGGATTGGGTGGCTTTCTACCTCCCCAGATGAGACTGTGCCCATACCACATTTTCCCCTGCCTTATTCTTACAGAGGGAAGAAATCCTTGAATTGAGCAGGCATCCTTTTCTGTCTGTGATGCCATGATGGATTGTCATGAGCATGATGAGTTTCTTCCTCTTTCTCACTAGAACTGGATTTAATCCTGCTGCATTTCCGTAATCTACAAGTTGCTTGCTTATCCTCTGAAGTATCAGTAAGTGGATGTGCTTGCTCTCTTCTGTGAAACCGGTTTGTCACCACTCAAAGGACCAGAACTCAAGGGTTCCTGGTAATCTTCAAAAGGAGATCATGATTCTGTTTCTTCAAAGTTAGTTGAAGTGTCCTGAAGACATTCCTCACTTAGGCTTGTGGGTCCCGATTCATCCCCTGTAAGAGCCAAGTCTCTTAGTGAGACTGTCTTCCCTTCCATCAAAAAACTGAGCAAAGTGCTTGAATGACTGATGTAGAAGATACATTGAGACAGGGTATTGCAAAAGGAAATCACATATAATTGTCAATTATTGTCAGCATATATTTGTTACGAGTTTTTGATGGAAGCAATCCTTTAAAATCCAATGTATTTCTTTCATAGGGTTGCGTGGCTTTTATGACCATACTGGTGTTAGGACAGT